AAAGACAGTAAAAACATTAAAGGGGTAGTTCACCCAAAAATGAAAATTCTGTCATTAATTACTCACCCTCGTGATGTTCCAAACCCATAAGACCTTCGTTCATCATCTTCCATCATATTTTTGTCACTTTGGACGCGCGTTCACGACACTTTTCTGGACCTTGAACGTGGTAGTTACCTTGCTGTCTATGGGAGGGTCAGAGAGCCCTCAGATTTCATCAAAAATATCTTAAATTGTGTTCTGAAGATGAACGAAGGTCTTACGGGTTTCGAACAACACGAGGGTGAGTAATTAATGACAGAATTTTCATTTTTGGGTGAACTAACCCTTTAACAAAATCTGATTTGAATTAAATAATCTTTTTTGTTCTTCAGACTACAAAAAATGCTTTTTATGTGTTGTGTTGTTTATTTGCTTCAGAGAGGCTCTTCAATCTCTACAGCGAGAAGTGAACCGACTGAAGGAGAGACTAGAGGGAAATCTGAGACTCTCCAAACCTGCCAGTCCTGTTAGAGTGCCCACTTCTGCCACGGAAGATACCAGGGATCAGGCATTCCCACGGACCGCAAGGTACCTGAAATCTATTGTTGCCATTTTGATCTTAGACTGGCCAAAATGATATATGTTAGCTAAAACTTTTAATTCATAAAGTGATTTTATGATATTCCTTATTTATTAGGTCTTCAGACAGGAGAAGGTGGCAGACAGAGAGAGGGAGGAATGGAGAACAAGAGAGAGGAAACTCACCAAGACCCACTCTGAGGCAAAGATCAGCGTCTTTACCTCGACATCGGCCTCAAACTGATCTGAGTGCGTTTAGCTACATGTACATTTTTCAAAGTAGAATACATTTGGATGCAAAGAGATTTTCTTAAAGGGGTCATATGATGCGATTTCAATTTTTCCTTTCTCTTTGGAGTGTTACAAGCTCTTGGTGCATAAAGAAGGTCTGTAAAGTTGCAAAGACTAAAGTCTCAAATCCAAAGAGATATTCTTTATAAAAGTTAAGAGTCAACCACGCCTACCTAAAACGGCTCGTTCTAACATGCCCCCACATGTCTACGTCACAATGTGGGAAGATTTGCATAACGCCACCCAAATGTTCACGCAAAGAAAGAAGGCGCAACTTTGATTCTCACTGTAGTATTGTTGCCGCTGCCGCCATGTCGTGAAGGCGCTGTGTGTTTCGTTGTGAAAGCGAAACTACTTTGTTTGGCCTTCCAAAAGAGGACACGACTAGAAATCAGTGGTTAAGTTGTATTTACAACACTGTTCCGGAACAGTTCAACCCAAATATTCAGATGTGTGCCGCGCATTTTATGGAGGACGAGGACTTTCCTGGGAGAGTAGCCTACAATGCCGGTGTCTGTTTCTATAAAGTGGGGCAATTCTAACTTCGCAAGGACAGTCTGTTGCTTCTGACTCACAGCCTGTAAGTAAGTTTTTATATTTAAATAAACCGCATAAACACATTGCATTACACCAAATACACAAAATAATGTTATTTTTAGCAACGTCATATGACCCCTTTAATGGTCCTAAATGACAAAACGCTTGGATGTCATATTGGTTATTTGAATCTGTTATGCTCTGATAGAGATATTAAATTACTTTTTCACCATGCTTTTGTTAACCCTTCAGCAACTGATTCTGAGCTTGTCCAGTCTGAGCCACGACCATCAACATTCAGACATGTCCTGGTGTCCCCAATTACATCAAGAGGAAGAAGACAAACCAGAGGATTTGTACATCACAAAGAGGACAGTACCTGTAAGAAAAGATCTTTGTTGTAACTCAACATGACATGACCAGGTTTTGGTATGATGTTCAAGAACAAATTGTGGTCATTTTAATTGAACATCAGCAGGCAGATCCAACAATAGTGATGAAACCGAATCAAGCCGAGGGCCAGAAACTGCCTGCCCACATTGCATAGCAGACCGTACTGGTACTTTGACACGTAAGCATCTTATCATGATAATGGGGGCTAAAGTTTACTGAACTTACAATTTCATGAACTATCCTCCTGTCCTTTACACTATTAATAAAAGGTCCAGTGAGGAGTAGGAGCTCTCCACATCTCACACAGCCTTCCTGCAACCACTGCCCATTGTGTGATGCATTACAAGCCAATCAAAGAGCCTCTCAACCAGGTTTGATAAATCATTATCTATAAACTAGTTTTTTATAGTTCGTCCTGAAGATGTGAAGTATTCGCCTAATACAACTTGTATCACCAAGAATCATGTTGACTCTCAAATGTGTTTATTTAGCCAATCAGATGCCAGTCTCGACCCCCAGTGGGAGTCAGCCAATGAGATACTCCTTACAGAGGAACAAAGGAGGTGTAAATGTGACTCCTCCCCCCACAGTCCTGGGAGGTGTTCCAGTTGTCCCATATGTTCCTGTCTATCCTTCAACTCTGTGAGTACCTCAGGATAAAGTGGCCATTAGCTTAATTTACTTGCTTCTTCCTCTGCAACTGCTTTGATCAATGAATCAGACTCTAAAAATGCATGAGAACAACTTCCTCTCAACTTCCTGTCAGTCGATGAGTTTTGCAGGCTTGATTCAAACTCGTCTGAGACCTCTGTGGAAATCTGGGATTCAAAATCTAATTTAATCCTGGAGGGAAGCAAAGTTTTACGATTTCAAAAATTGCAAAACCAGAAGCATTATGACGTAAAATGAAGAAATAATTAGAATATAATGAACTATTTTTAGGTGACAAATTAAAATAAAATGTCAGATTTCAAATAATTCTGATTCATGATCCAAATAATTCAGAAATTCAAGCTTTGAATTGATTTTTTTACTCGTGTTGATAATATCATTTGTTGATGGGGAAAAAAGTAAAACATACAGTGGGTACGGAAAGTATTCAGACCCCCTTCAATTTTTCACTCTTTGTTATATTGCAGCCATTTGCTAAAATCATTTAAGTTAATTTTTTTTCCTCATTAATGTACACACAGCACCCCATATTGACAGAAAAACACAGAATCGTTGACATTTTTGCAGATTTATTAAAAAAGAAAATATAACAAAGAGTGAAAAATTTAAGGGGGTCTGAATACTTTCCGTACCCACTGTAAGTATTTTCTTCAGTGTCGTCAGACATTTGAACCCTACTGTATATTATTATTGTTATTATTTAATAACATTTTTATTTAATAGTTTATTATTATTGAATTTAATAACATTATTTGAAATGGAAAACTTTTGTAAAATTGTTTTTTTACTGTCACTTTACTGACTTGCTGAATAAAAGTATAATTTATTTTTATTTTATTTTTTTTTTTATCTTACTACCCATGATATTTTGAGCAGTATTATATAATATTATTTATATAATTATATATTTCTTATACACTTTTTTTTAACAATTAGTTTTAAGTAACATACAACTAACTCCTCTGGTGTAACTGTCCACAACAGATTAATCATTCTGTCCTTTTCTTGCAGTTACTTCTCCAGCCCTGTGATGGCACAGGCCTACTCACAACCCTTTAACATCTCAGTCAGTCCTGTCAGAGATGAGAGGCCAGGGGTCAGAGGTCATCGTAGACGCTCTCTCTCTTTGGACCATCAGCAGTGCTCTCTAAACAGCTCTTTGACCCGCGCCATCGCGGCAGCTAGAAACATGAGAGAGGTCTCACATCGCATGGCTCACTCTCTGGCCTCAGGACTACACAGCACTAGCTTCCTCACCACATCCTGCACCTACTGACACCAGCGTTTGCATTTGTTCTTTTAGCAGATGCTTTTATCCAAAGTCACTTTAAATGAGGAATTATACTTTTCTACTGCTGAGCTGTGAAGAAAGTCACATTTGTTCATTATTATTAGTTTACAAAAACAACTCATTTTCTCATAGCGATGTGACTGATAATGTAAGACATGTAACACTTCAGCGGGAAATGATGGAAAGTGTGAAATGTTTTAGGTGAACAGCTACTTTTAGAGATTAATAGCTGCATTATGGCAGCTTAAACATTCCAGGTTTGTATATGCAGTGACCCCAAAAAATATTTGGAATCTTAGGCCACACTTAAGATTTATGCATCTCATTGCATTGGAAAGCAAAAAATGTAAGCAATATTGCTTTTTTTGTACAAAACATTATAGAAGGTTTTTTTTTTTTAGGTTTTAAATGAGATAAAAAATAAATAAATATGCTGTTCAAAATGAAGATGAAGATATATTTGGACACTTGAGATTTCCGAACATGTTCATAGTTGTGATGAAATACACCGGTGGTTACTATGCTAGGGCATCTGTGAGTTTGTATTTTATTGTATAATACCAAGACACTGATGCATGTTTAAGTGTGGTTTAAATGTCCAAATAATTTTAGGTGCACAGTAGTAGACCTTTTTTCTGGAAAGTGCAAATAATGTAACAGATTTATATGTATTTTCACAGTGTGAATGTGGACCTGTTTGGTTTTTAAATCCGTCAGTGACAGGTTTTTTGTTTTTTTTTTTGTTTTTTTTTTTATGGAGAAAATAAATATAGAGTTTTTATTTATATTACCATACTTTTGTGTTGTATTTGTTTACCTAGAATTTCCAAACTGCATAACCTTTTTAATGTAAATGCCTGTGTGACAGTTTTCTACCCCATAGTCAGAAAAAGCAGTTTGATTGAGTGGTGTGTATACAGTCCAACGAGTCCCACAAGAGTTTGTAGCAGCATTGAGGTCAGTGTGAAAAGACCAGCGTGCATTTCACTTTGTGGAAACAATAATGGGATAGTTATTAGCATACGTTTTTACAGATTATGCAATATTGTTACAATATATATATATATATAGCTTTCTGAGGTAAATGTCATTTTAGTAATGCTTTGTAAATTTAAACAAACTAATTATTTTGGGCATCTCCCAGTCAAATTTAATGTCTAATAATGTTTTTTTATGTTTCTGTCATGTGGTTTGTATTTATAGAGCTGTACTTTTATACTATATTTACCACTATAAATGTTTCTATCATATTTGGCATGGTGTGTCATGTTGCTGTTTTTCCTTACAGCCATTTCACCAAGATTTATTTTGCTCAAGATAAAGGACTGGACCTTCTCTTGACCTTCCTGTAGCTGCAGATCTGTGTTGAGAGCCAGCTAGTCTATCATGTATTCAGAGACCAGTGATCAAGGTTGGTGGCCAGTCAAACAGTCCACATCAACATTTTGTTTGATATAACAGGGCTCCCACGCTAATCATGGAATAGCTTGAAATAGCAGGTAGCCATTTCCAGACCTGGAATGAATAAATATGTATTATAAAATACAATTATTTTTTTTTTGAGTACAGTCTGCATAATAATGAAAAACTGATCAATTCAGTGTTCAAAGTGTTTTGGAACCCCTTTATATATCATACATTTCCGTATAAATCAATGTTCATATAACAAAAAAGATCAATCTGAGATTTTGGAGACTATTGCAGTGTAGAGGTGGAGAAATCTTGTACAGAGCATGTCGCAAAAATGTACTGATTGCATATTTGTAATGTAAGCCAATTTATTAGACAGCCTTAGTACATCGGTACACATGAAGTAT